CACATGGAGGTTCTCTGCTCAACCCCTGATTATACACTAAGAGTGCACGGTTAAGTTCATGTGTTAGTAGATGGTATTGAATCCAGGCCCAAGAAATGCTCACACACTCTTTTTCCCCACAGTTTTGACAGAGCAAGCAATATGGAAAGGAAAATAGCTGGATAGGGAAAAAAATACATCCTTCTAGCTGTGCAAGCACCAATCAGGACGGGTCTTTCTGGCCAAGCTTCAACCAGATGATGTGGTTTAAACGTCAAGGTGTAAGTAAGGACTACTGCTTTCTACTCCTTGTATCCAGATAGTTCTTAACTGAGGTCCCTCCTGAGGAATGTGAAGCAAAGAAAATGGGATGAAGCTAGCTTAGTCGAAGGTCAAAGTATAAGCCTGGGGCCGAAGGAAAAATGAGAGTGGTCCTGCTTTGTTGCTGATCTTTAAGCCAACCACCCTGACCTAAATTATACCACGTTGTAAAATGGGGTCCAGTGAATGTCCTGGCCTCTGACCAAAGAGATAAACAACTCCTCTTTCAGAGACAGGGAGGGAGTTGGGGGATCATTCCTTCCATAGATTCCTTTCAAAATGTGGAGTCTTTTGCACCAGGGCTGCTAGACTTAGCAAATAGAAATATAGGACACCCAGCTAAATCTGAATTTTAGATAAGCGAGGAATTGTTTCTGTAGTATAAGTATGTCACATGCCATATTTGGGACATGCTGATAGTAAGGTGTTATTTTTGTTTATCTGAAATTTGAAGTTAACTGGGCATCCTCTGGGCTGTCTGGCAATTCTATTTCCAGCTGTGTTTTAAGGTCAGTTTGGGGATGGTTCACTGAGACTGATAGGAGGACATTCAGAGCTCTTTCTTTGTTGTGAGATGTATCCTGTGTGTTCTGGAATGTTTACGTAGCATTCCTAGTTTCTACACGCCGAATGCTAGCAGAACTTCCCTTGCTTCCGCTGTGGCAAACAAATATGTCTCTAGACGTTGCCCAGTGTCTCTTGGAGGGCAGAGTCACCCCTAGTTGAGAACCACTGGTTTGGGGATAATGACAAAAGCAGGACTGTGAAGCATATCAAGATGGTAGACCAGAAGGTGACACTTACAGTTGCTCCTTGAGCGACACGAGTTTGAACTGTGTGGGTCCACTTATATGTGAAATTTTTTTTTCAGTACATACGGTGCAGTACTATAAAAATACAGTACAATAGTGTGAATGTATTTTCTCTTCCTTATAATTTTCTTAGTAACATTTCCTTTTCTCTAGCTTACTTTCTTGTAAGTATGCAGTACGTAATCCATATACAAAATATGTATTAATCAACTGTTTATGTTATCAGTAAGGCTTCCAGTTAACAGCAGACTATTAGTAGTTGAGTCTGGGGAGGAATCAAAAGTTATATCATAGGATTTTCTACTGGGCAGGGGATCAGGGCCCCTAAACCTTTCACTGTTCAAGAGTCAACTGTATATCCAACCAAATAATGATCTGGGCCTGATCTGTCATCATTCCTTCCCCTCTCCCCATATCCTGGGCTCCTTCCCAGTTATGTCAAGGGCTATCTAGACCTATGTAGAGAAGCCCAACAATACATTTTAGTCCCATGTTGATTATAATCACTAGACACTCATTCTCTGTTCACTTGGCCTTCCCAGACAGCTCACATGAGGCTATACATGGAAACTCTTTGGGTTTTAGCTCAGATATCGTCCTCAACGAACACACAACAAACTATTAAACCAGGTACTGCAATCTTATCTTAGGTCATCAGGTTGCGTAGCCTGGGTGAACTTAACATTTGATGAGCAAATCTCTTATAGTCAAACTACCTTATTTAAGTATAAACATTATTCCTTAGGTCCATTTATAGAAGGGGACATTTACAGCCATTGGATCATGAATTCTGTCCTTCAAACATTTCTGTCTACACATGTAGTTAAAAAAAATGCTGAAGTGCCTTCATGTGATGGCTTCCTACATGTAAAGTTTCCTTGCCTTGAATGTTTTCTCGTTTCCTTCGAAAAAACTGAAGTGACTTTTGCTTTATTAACTTTGTCCAGCATTGATAATGAGCTCTGTAGACCTATCAGCTTATGTAGGGGGAAATTTTCATTAACAAGTTAAGTGTAACTATGTTTCTTCATTGCTTTCCACATTTTGTAGGCTTTTAGAGAAGCATCGGTTTTATAGAAATCCATTGAACACAGCAAAGACAATGTAACTATCTTGTTATGTTGCTGTGGGGGGAAAAAATCTCTGTTTTCCATTCCCTATAAATGTTGTATGTTTTCAAATCTTTTTTTTTTTTTTAATCTAATGTGCTCTCTTAAATAGGAATAGTCTGTTCCCCAAGAAGCCCATTTTAAAGAATAACATTGTCATTATTTATAATCACACGCCTTCATCATTATAGGAAAAAAAATGAGCCTTCTCAGATTCTGATATCTGTATTTAATCAATAACCACATTCCTCTTTCATCTGTCTTACCTCTGCAATTGCATTTTCCCAGCTGCGTATGTTTTATTGTATAAGAATTCAATTGAAAGAGCCATTCATGTTTGCAAAAAGGATGATGTTTTATTATTGGTTATAAAGAAAAGAAATTTCATACTTTATATAACCAACCCTTTCTGTTATAGCGTGGTGAATTCTGAGAGTGGGGAGCAAGTTAACTAACCGTGGAGAGACCACAGAAAAATCTTGCAGTATTGTGACCACATTATAAAATCAGCCCTGGCAATTTTTATGTCTCTAATTGACAAGCATTCGACTCACTTTTGAAATGCATAATCTTTGCACAGTTGAAGAGTATAGACTAGAAAGGGATAAGCGATAATGGTCAAAATATGTAACACTAAGGTGACAGGGCCTCATCGATGACACCAGCCAGGTACCATCTTATTGGAACGGGATCCCAGAGACCCTGCAACTGCCAGGTGTTCTTCTTTTAGTGGCTGGCACCATGCGAAGGTGGGATGGGTGCTTGGAGAGGGGCCAGGGTGGCTGGAGGCATAGAGGAAACACTAAGGAGGTACAAGGTAACAACTGTTTATGAGCCGGTCTGGTAGTATTTTAATATTCGAACCATCGAAACAGCTGTAGCGTGGTGTAGCAGCTGGACTGGGAAGTGGAAAACTATCGAGTGGTGCAGTGTAGTTAGAAAATGAGACCACCAGTTGGAGTTCGTAACATTGCCCTGAACTCACTGTGTGGTCTGGGGTAAGTTAGTTCTTGGGACCCCTATTTTCTCTTATGGAGAATGAGAATATTGGATTGGAACAGTCCTAGGTTCCCTTCCTATTCTAGGAATCCACTTCTTTTCCCTGCTAGTGGTCTGCAGTTCTAAGCATAGAGTCTAGAGTTGTCCTTGAACTTCTGAAAAGCAGAGAGGCTGAGGTATTTGGCAGGCAGTATAGGGCACTGTCATGCTCTGTGGTTCGTCAAACAGGAACAAAGCTGCATTAACCGTCCATGCGCTGTTATTGTCAGGAGCAAGACAGGAGCAGTTAAATACCTTTCTATAAGCAGCTTAAAAACATTTTTTTAAAGATTAATAGTTTTCAACATGGGGAGGGATTTCTTACAGAATAGAAAAATGTGCTCACTTATGAAAGACACAAAATAAATGTTGCTTTTGCCTGAAAGTACCTAAGTCAGGCGAAAGCAGATACTTTGGTATTATTTGTTGTTTGATTGGATTGTGGAAAGTTCCCTCTCCTCCTCATTTCACTTCTGTGTTCTTTGGTTACTGATAGAAAAGTGTGTGTGTGTGTGTGTGTGTGTGTGTGTGTGTGTGTATTTCCGTGGGAATATATAAGCACACATTAATGAACAATTCCGTGCCTTACTAAAAGTAAAGAAGAATCCAATATAACTTCATCCTAGGTGTGTTTTCCCCCAAAATGTTTGTTTTAATTTGTTTGAGTTGAAAGTCATTTTCCAAGTTTATATCACATCTTAACATTTTTTTCTGTAAGTATGAGGAGGGACTCAGCATAATTGTGGATTACTTTAATTATCAGAAAAGGAAAAATATGATTTCTGACGCACATGCTGTATTAGGAGACTCATGGTGAATTAGTACCTAAACATGTATTTCTTCTGGATTCCTGCATAAGTGATAGTTTAGTGAAATGAACTGATTCTGTTTTAATATCCTGTTGCTTATTGTACCTGACAAACAGAAATGAGGAAAATGAAGAATTGATTATCTGGGGTCATTTTCGTGAAACTTGCATATAATTCCCATTTATGCTCATTGGAATAAAGAAGAGTATTTCTGTAACAAATTAAGAACATGCATAACCTGTTATGACATAGTCATAGATGTATAATAATATGGTCTAGAATTACAGTACTCTCTTGAAGTACATCATATTCAAAATTCACTGGAGATGTCTTAGAGACATCTGTTGTAATTACAGGAACATGGTTTCTAATTCATTTAATTCCCTTTCCTACCTAAACTGTACATATAAGTGAATTTTAAGAGACTGTATAAATAAATTTTTAATTACAAAATGATGTTATACAATACATTATTAATAATAACCAACAATGCATAATGTTTATGCATGAGGCCATTACAAAGACAAGCTAATGTATGTCAGTTCCAAAAGAATGTACTAATTTGTCCTGAATTTGTGAATGAAGTTGAATCCATGATGCAAGCCAATGAACGCAGTAACACAGAGTGGTTTAGCATGCTTTTTTGCAGTCAAGAAACACCTTGTACCTATGGCATTTACGAGGTATTTAAGATCGTTCATCACACATGATCAAGATATTTTTTTCCAACGAGCCATGCAGTAATGAAATTTGGAATAAGACCATTGAGTTGACAACACTACCCTTGCCAGCCAGGTGCAGAATAAAATGGTCTATGGCATCCAAGAAATGCGTACAATCCTTACATTTCAGCGCATAGAAATCAGTCTTATTGTCATGGAGTTTCCCTGTGGGGCCAAAGGGTCTGCCGGAACGTCGTTGACTTCATTGTGCTAGCGGTAACAGATTTCTGAAATCTCCATGGCCAACTCCAGACACTCGCTGGTCTCGTGGCAAGATTCAAAAAGACTGCAGTCGACGTCACAGTTGCACTTGCAGTCGTGCCGCGGGTGGCTTTCATCCGAGGTGTGGTGGTACCTGTGAGAGGGGCAGCACAGGTTGGTACACACTGTTTCGCACGTATCTGGGAGCATCAGGAGGCAGTCCCAAAATTGGCAAAACAGACAGGTGAGGATGAGAGAGGCACACTCCTCTGTTTAAAGAAGAAGGAGAAGGAAAAGAGGAGGAAGAAATTAACGGTGGCACATAGAGGGGCGTCTCCGAAGGACAGGCAGGTGTGGTGGCATGCTTGATAACTTTATGGCCAACTCTTAATTGTCCATATTAGGGGTAAAGTACACCATTACCCTTCCCCACCTCCCTGCTGTACCCGTTCTACTTAAGTAATTGCTTTATTAACTTCCTGAGCATTTCTATTGATTCCACATAATCTGGTTATTTAAAGTGCTGTCACTTTTCTAAACTCCTTTATTTACTTTGCCTGCAGAGGTGCTGAGAAGCCACGCAATTAGCTACCTATCTGGAAACCTTGCAGCTGTCTGAAAAATAGCTGGTCCTCTGCAGGTGCAGGGAGCTTTCAGGAGCAATTAGGGCTGGGGACAAGGAGAGACTGTACAAATTTCCGGCTTCTCGTCACCAGGCTTTCTCATTTGTATGGTGTGGATTCCCATAAATCTGCCACACCCATATTCGCATGCCAGCGAAAAGCACATTTCAAAACCCAGAGAAAGAATTTTTTAAATAGTCAGAGTTTTTGTTTTGGTTGTATTTTGTTTTCAATCCCTGCGTCCTTTGTCCTCCAGTTTGGGGAAGCCTTGCTTTTATATTCATGTTAAATGAAATACGTCATCATATGCCTGAAAGCGTAGAAATCTTCTCAATCCTCCTTAAGAAAATTGGTTTAAAAATTTACTACTGCAGACTTGTAAAAATCGGAAAAGTATCTCTAAGGTATTGAAGGTAATTGGTACTTCTAGCCAAACAGCTGTGATGGTTTATAGATTATGATATTTTTTGTTTCCATAAAGGGAATTAGTTAGGAGATGCAACAACTCTCTTGTTAAAATCATAACCTGTTTTTTAGTTAAGTCTCAAAAACATGTAAGCACTTTATAAATGGGTAGGTAAGTATGTTTACATGATATATCATCCAATTAATGAAAATTGCTATCCTGAAGATTGTTCGTGGCTGAAAGTAACATTCCAGCCTGAATTGGAGAAACGTCTCCTCCTCCTGATGGGTTTATCAATCAATTAAAGTTATATTTTCGTAAGGATTTATTTTGTTTCCAATAAGAATGTGACTGTTAATAAATTCTGGTTTTCAGGCTTCAGTTGGCTGAGACTATCCAAGCCTGCAGGAGAGATTTTGCTCTTGGGTTCTGACTGTTCTCAGAGGCCTGTTCATTTACTTCCAACAATATTTTCCAGAAAAGTTTTTTACTTTTTTTGTTCAGATATTTGTTCATCCTTGAAAGGAGGGCAAGCGTGGAAACTTGCTCTAAAAGGGAACAAATATCTTGAAGAAACTTAGAGTCATTATCTAAAGGTCGAAAATGACTGTGCATATAGGTAAACCAAAGTCTTCGTTCTTGCCTCTGTCCCATGTGCCATCCCTGCCTCACACCCTCCTTTCCTTTCTTCCCAATCAGACGGTGATGAAGAACCTCAAGGTGACTTTTATGACTCCTTGAATTGCCAGATATTGTTGCAGGTGCTGTGGCTGTACCTAAGTATTTCTGGTTTAGGAAGCATATCCCATAATACCTCCAGGGTGTATGCACTCATCTCTTTGCCAGATGGGGTGTATTTTTTTATTCACTTAGAGCCAGCTTCCAGCATGTGGCCAAGTCACCCATATAAGTCACCACAAACCGCCCACAAAAATTCAGGAGTCAGTTAGTACAGTACATAGACTCTATTTTACGTATGCATTTCTGAGGAGGGCATGTTGGTGGTCAAAGATACGGAGCATAAAACCTCATCAACTTACGCTGATGCCAGCAAGATTACTAGAGCAGCCCCTGGAAAAGAAGAAGTTCTCAGTACAAAATATCCCAAGCAAATGCTCCATATCCTTCAGGCTGGAGGCTTAAGAGACTTACTCACGCTAGGATCGTATAAAAATGATCCCACTAGATCTGTGTCCTTTGTAGATGTCAGGGTAAAAGTTTGATTTGCAGGTAAGTTAGGGTGGGAGCTGGTGACATGGGGATGGGAGTTGGGGTTTTGTATCAAAGTGTAGAGACCCTATTTGTGAAATGGCCTTATAATTTCCTGAGGGCATATAATCTTTTGGTTTAACTCCTCTTGCCAATGTTTTCTCAAGTTGGCAGACTCCGGAGGTCTCTGCTTCTGATGTACACCGTAGGTTTTATTTGCACACACACAAAAATGTTTGGCCTAATCCTTTGGCCAAACTGGTATTTGTTTTCTTCTATTTTGCATTTGAGAATAGAGCTCTCTTTTTTTTTTCCCTGTGTATAAGTCAGTCCTTTTTATTTGGTTATAAAAGGCAGAGCCTCTTGCCCAAAAAAACATGGCAACATTGATGAATTGAAAACAGATTTTTCCAAACTTTCAAGAGTGTTGAAAACTTTTCCTAAAAGGCACATTAAATAATTCTACACGGGCAGGCAAAACTGTTTTGCATATGGGCAATTTTTGTTTGCACAAAAGTAACACAAGCAGTTCAGGGGGAAATTTGCAAGTGTTTGAAAAGAGAGTTGGACCTCTCCTTCTCCTGCCTGAATGGGTGTATTTTCCTTTGCCTGCACTATTTCTTGGGGCTTTAATGTTTAGTAAACATGATATGCAAAGTCATAGCCCATGATTAGCACCCCTACTCTCAGCCCATCCCAAAGAGTATGCTGTGCGTCCATCTGCCTCCTTCACATGGCTTCTGCAATGTCTTCAAGACATCTCCCACTCACCAAGGCCAGGCTGCACCACGGCTCTCCCTCATTCCTTATTCCACAAACCTTTGGCTTTCTCTTGCGAATGGCTCTTGCACACTCACATGAAATGAACAGAAAGCTGGGACTCATTCCTGTCATTTTCCTTTTCCCCATCATACCACCCCCCCGCCCCCCATGCAATTCCCTGCTGAATTCTGCACATTCTATCTCATATTGGTATGTGAAACTCATAAGCCTCTACCTGCCTCTAGGGCCACCGCCATAGTTCTAGCCACTATTGGCCATCGTCAGGTCCAAAGCAATAGCTTCCTATCGAACACGCTGGTTTTCACGTGAGTGCAGCTCAGCTTCATCGTCTCCTGTGATATTCTTTCACTGGAAATGAGATGAGCTCGCCTCCCCCGTAAAGTCCCCCATCCTGGTCGTAGCCCATATGCCTGCGTATAGGTTTCTGCCTATTTCTCTGGCTTCCCATCCTAATCTTCTCCTCACCGACTGCACTCCAGTCACACTGGTTCTCTTTCGTTCAGATCCTGGGATACACCAAACTCCGAGCCTTTGCGCATGCTCTCTCTTTGGCCTGTGTTCCATAAACCCCTGCCTCACAGCTTGACCTGATTCCTACTCAGCCTCTGAGTCTTTAGCTTAAAACACCTTCTCTCTAAATCACACCCTGTTGAAACTCTCATAGCACTCTATTTTTTCCTCATAGTACTGACCATAGGATGCTATGAAGCTAAATCGTTTGTGAATGGGTTTCTCTCCCTACTAGAACCTGAATTATAAGAAAGCTGTATCTCTTGTTGAGTGAAAGAATGAGTAAATGAACGATGGGAGATAAATAAAGTGGTCCCCGTTTTTTAGATGAAAGGACTAAGGCTCAGGGATTGTCCCTGAATGTCCTGAGTCTTTCAACTTTAAGGTGGTGGGCGAGAGGTTCAAATGTCAGTCTTTCTGGATCCAAAGCCTGTGCTCTCTTATCCATTGTTACATTGGAAGCAAATGCTTGGTCCTCTGTACTTTATGTGCTCCTCACATAGGTCCTGAAGTGGGCCTGAGTTGAGTCCTATCACAATTCTTTTATAGATGGGGAAATAGTGGCTCAGGGAATTTAAGAAGCATAGGAAATGGTGAATCTGTGATTTGACTCAAACTGTCCCCTCCAGAGCTCTTAACCCTGCAGCTGGCCTGCCCTTCAGAAGGCTCACACCTCCTCTGTCATGATCCAACATGGCGCAGGACGTGGCCGGCTTGTGGAAGGCCTGCTCTCCCTTCTCCTCCCTGCTCTGCTCTGTATTCCCAAGACTGCTAAAGTCTGTTTTCAAGGTTCTGTCAAGCGGCTTCTCACCAACCTCAGCCAATGGGAAGCAGTGACAGGAAAAGAGGGTGGGGGGCGGGGGAGAAGGGAACGCAGGGGGTATTTCTTCTCCCCTCTCTCTGCTTTGAGTGGTGTCTCAGGTGTATCTACCCCTTGGTTTTATCTCTTTCTGAAAATCCTTCTTTCTGTGGCTACTGTTAATGCCACTTACTAGTGGTGTGTCAAGTAATGGTTAGTTGCTGGTGGCCTATGAGCTCAGGCCAGTGCTTGTCATTTACTAGTGGCCTGGGAGGGACCAAGGGAAGAGGTGTCAGAGCCTTGTTGCTAAGTCCTTGGAGGCCTCACTACTCCCTTACCTGGCTTTTCACCTCTCCTAATATCTTCGTAACTAGGTCTCTGTATGTTGACGTCCCTTTATTGACTGCCCTGGCATCCTGGCCCGGGCTGTAATCACTGCTCTCAGAGCACCCAGCTCGCTTTCCCACCTCTTACCTCCTTAAATCCGGATCAGGGAAGGTTCAAGAAGGAGCCGCGACCTGCAAGCCTTGCAGCCAAAAGCGGTATTTGTGAGCAAAAAGCCATGACAAAAACCTGCTTAGGTTGTTTCATTTCCTTTTTACACCCCTAGGGTACCTTTAGGACACTGAGGCTGTAATGTGCTAAGTGATACCCTAATGATACTGAAGGATTAACGCAGCCTCCAGAGGTGCTAAATGTACAGCTGGGGATTGGCTAATTAAGAGGGAGAATCTGTCTCATTAGAAAGGATCATGTTTAATTATAGTGGAAAAGGTAACAATGCAAGGAGTTTCCACCAGGGTATCAGAGATCAGCCTCGCGGTCGTGGTCCAGTACTCACTGGGTTTGCCCTCCCAGCTTTCAATCTTGTCACCAAAATGCCTGGAATTCAGAGGAGGGAGAGACAGTGGAGGATGTAGCTGTCCCCTGTCGTTCTGATGGTTTTCCTCAGCTCCAGAAACATTCACCCGCTAGTTTGGGAATCACTATGCAAAGTAGCAAAAATGTGGTTCTTCCATAAGGGGTCCCACATAAACAACATTCTCCCCCTCCCATCCCCTCAAAGCCAAGTAATAAAAAAAGGAAAATAAACCTGCCCCAAACCCAGTATTCTAATATGTTAATGGTTAATGTGTGGTCACAGCAGATTCAGCATAATCATGAGATTCATGACACGGTGGCTCCGACTAATTACTCAAAGTTTTTGGTGAAAAAGTATAAAAATTGGTTCCCACTCTTCCAACATTAAGGTTTTTTTTAAAAAAGTCTGTAATGTAGAATAGGAATAAATAAAGTGTGACTGAATGCCTTTCTCTAGCTGGGGTATCATCCCTGATGTTATCAATTTTAATAGCTACTTAAATATGTCAAGATCTATTTAAGTTCAGACAAGCACAACTAACGTTCAAGTCAGTTCTTTAGAACGAGGATGACTGGATTTGGGTGATACTTAGTAAATTTGTGCTTATGTTTTTTTCTGAGCAAATGAACTGAAATAATTATAAAATTGAAACATTTTATAAGGTGACACTACCGCATTTAATTGTATGAAATTTACAGTGTAGAAAATGTAATCATTTTATTCAGTAGTCCATGGTGTAATTAAGACTATTCTTTTGAGGTATCTTGTATTTATGATTTTCCTCTTCCACCTGGATGAGACATCTCAGATTCAAAATTATACATCAATTAGGTGTATTCTCAGGATTCTTTTTAAGGAGCCTCTTTTCGACTATTGTGTATATGCTTGATTTTATTACCCACAGGGATGCCTTTGCAATCAGAGTGTAGAAACAGAAGCAGAGACACAGACAGTGCTCTGGACTTTTTCCATTTTATTCGGGAAAGGGACCACACAGGATGAGCCACAATTTAATAATAAAGTAATGTTGCAGCACATAGTGTGTGATGTGCAGTAAAGATCCTTTTAAATTCCCATCAGAGCACACACCATGAACTGTGCTAATGGATGTAACACATTTTACAAAATCTGCATGTGTGAGGCTTTTCCATTCTGTTTTAAGTGGGGCAATGTATATAAATAATAGATATTAGCAATTAAGCATCCATTCCTATGCACTCATTTATACATTTGAAAATAAATTAACCACAAACTACATGAAAGTGGATGCAATCTTCTCTTTTCCCTTCTGTTTCCCCTGCTGTTCCTGCAAGATATTTCTGTATTTATCTCAGTACGAACAATGACCCCAGCTCTCAATTTCTGCATCCTTAAATTAATTACTATAAAAATTCTCCGACTTAACTCTTGATATCCTTGATGTTGGCTGTTTAAGATAATGAGAGCTTCCTACCCACATTTGTAGGCCCTGGTTGGAATGTTTCTCTCTTTTATCCAGATACCAAAAACTCTTACGTTGCTGATGAGGGGAGTTCACACTGTGAGAATGGATTAGCAGGCTGTTACCTGTGTTCTTGGCCTACAATTGTAATTTTCCGGGTTGTACCAGCCTCTCAGCCAGAGCTTAAGAAGAACAGTCTAATTCAACTGTCCTCATGAATCTCCTCTGCTCTTCAAAGACAAGAGGAAGTCGTTCTTTTCCTGCGTGAGGCCCCTGATTATCCATTGTCATTTTCATGGAGTGGTCATTTTGGCCCTTTCCTGAGAATACAAGGGTTCAGGTACCATCTCAGCTACGCCTGCCCTTCTCATTCTCCCTGGATCCCCGATAGGACAAATCAGAGTGGTTCTGGACGGCATTGTGTTGTACTGTGTGGATATGTACAACGGTAATTCCTAATTCTGGGGTCATTACAACCAAGACCCGTTACACGTAAGATCCGTGCATCCCTGATGCAAGCCGATCCTGTATCACCTGTTTTCTTGATTGCCATGAAACACTAGCAAAGCCAGAAACTTGGGCATCATCTTGAATTTGGGGTGGTAACCCGGAAGTCCACCGGCCAAAGTTGGCCCAAAGCCACGTATTGTTGGGAGCGTCTGGGGCTTCATAAATGAGATAGAAGTTTTGCCAACACCTAAGAAATGCAGAGATGTCCCGTAACGCTCTGGACCTGGCAACTCTGAGCCTCTATTTTCTTCCGGAAGCAATTAGCTGGAGCTGAGTAGTGGCAGGGCTCTTCACCTTGCCATAGTCCTCGCCCACCCCTATTGTTCACTGCCCATCTTCTGCATTATTCACACTATCTCCTGGCAGCTGCAAGCAATTGTGTCTGTAGCTTCTGGTCTGAAGCATCCTTGACAATGTGTGCATAAGATCGTAAATAACATGTGTTAGAAATCTCTCCCCTTACTTTCTAAAACCAGAACCAGAATGAAAGCAAAAATCACATATCTATTATGTGCCAGGTTCTCTATTGGATCCTTTATATATGTTATTTCATTTGATCTTCAAAACACCCTATGATATGTTACTAGCTCCATTATATATAACCGAGAGTCTGAGATGCTAAAAAACTTACCCAGGTTTATGCAGTTAATAAATTTCAGAGCCAGGAATTAAACTGATGTGATTCCAAACTCCTGTTAATACAAAGTCTATGTATTTCTTTTTTCTCTTTTTCAAAAAGTAAATGTTAATTTAAATCTAGACTAGTAACTAGGACCTATTATATTGTCTTTTGAGAGATTGCAAGCTTTCTTTAAATGCAAACGTAGGTATGGAACACTAGGAAATTCCTGAACGGTTTATGTCTTCTGTAAAGGTCACTGCAAAGTCAACCTGAGTAAAATTACATATGTCTTGGTGTGGAGTCCATGACTTTGAACTTGACTGTGATGATCACTTAGCACCAAATCAATCTGAAGTTGGCTTTGCAAAAGGGAATGTGCCTTTAATGTCATATACAGGGGTAGTTTGGTGTAGGTTTGCACTGATCAGAATGCCCAGGAGGTGATATCAGCTAGAGTAACCAATCCTTCTTTACTGCTTGCTGATGTAAGCAGATTGATATTTTTTACAGTCTACATTTATACATTTCCAGCATTCTCATACCATTCCCCTCTGCCTTCTTCTCCTCTCAGCCTAGAGACAGGGGCTGAACAGTCCCAGATTTGAGAAAAGTTTGCCGTTTTTCTTTATCCACATCATAACTCCATAGCAAGCATGATTATACCTCACTCCAGCTATTTAAAACACTTTGCCTCCGATTTCCAGCTTTGAGAGCAAACAATCTGCCAAGCACCTCATAATTGCAGAGTGACCTTGACATGTGTCATTCACCAGGGTTTTCAAATCGAAGTCTTCCTGTTTAATATTCATAAAGGCTCTTTTTTTCTAACAGCATATGTGATGATTTTACAGGGGCGGGGGTTGGGGAGCTTTATTTAGAGATGGGTTGATTCTGAGAAACATACCATCAGTGTCTCTCTGATGAACTGAAGTATCAGTTTGGAGGTAGGAAAATTTTGTTTGGCATTCTTCAAGGGAGGACAGTGATGTGCTGAATTCTGACAGTTTTTTCTCACTGGGGGTTTCCTTGGCTGGTCCATCTGTGATATTGAATTCGGATACTGAATTTATAATGATAGCATTAATGGGTTTCTCGTCTGCATGCTTTTCATTTGTGAGTTGCATATCTAGACGAAAAAAGAAAAAATACACAAACCCATTATAGTTGACGTGACCCAGTGATTTCAGGACGGACATTTGCAGAAAACTTCACACTCTAGGCTTTTATGAGAACAAGATCTTATGTAAGAGAATGAAGCATCATTGAACAGGATCATTTTGAATAAAAATATAAGTAAGAATAAAAGAGGCAATCATGATAACATTTTACACACGTTACAAGTTTCCCTATCACAGTAATTTGTATCACTTATGTCTCCTGTGTGTGATTTTAAAATCAATTATATATTTATTTATTTTAGTGATGGGTGGAGAGAATCAAAGAATTCATTCACTTGGATCAATGAAATCTCATAGTTTGTTGTCAGCTCATTGTCAAAGTGTTTTCTGGATCCCAGGAGGAGTAGAAGGGTCTTCAATGCTGAGTACTGCTCCATAATGTATGTGATCTCCATCACATTGTCCTGTTTGTTTCTACAAACCTCAGTTTCCTCCTCTGTATATGAGAAGTGATTATAAATGAACAGTCTAGAAGCTCATTCCTGTTTCTGATCTCAGAGACTCTCAGTTGCCATTCTTTTCCCTGCCTTGGCATTTGTTAAGCTCCCAGTCAGGTGATCATCAATGTGAGCTTTGGGGGTAGGCTTTTTGGAACATGTTTTATTTCCATAGAACCACCTAGAAAGGAACCTCCAGCAAAGTCCTGGACTGAGATTCTGGTTTGGAGCGTCATAGAGAAGACCAAGAAGCCCTAGTTGCCTCATGTCTTTGAGAACTCCCATATTCATTTGTTCGTTCGTTCATTCATTCATTCATTCATTCCCACCTAACAATTGAGGGCCTGTTATATAAGAAGCACTGAACTGGGCACTGGGGGTGCAGTGGTACCTGAGACAGGCATGGTCCTCAACTTTCACAAGCATCAAACATGTTAGCAGAGAAATAACAAAGTCACAATATCGAGGAGTGTAGGACAGAGAGAAACACACCATGAAATTACATTAGAGAGAGAACCAGACTGGGTGGTAACTTACCTACACCTGTTAAACAGAATCCTAAAACCTAGGAAAGAGTTAACAGAAGGTATTCTCAAACTTGTGGACCAGCTGGTTCCTAGGGATCATTTGAGACCTAAACAAGTGGCAGTCCTGGTGATTTAGCAGCCCTACTGGGAGATGGTGAAGATTCTTTCTGGAGACTTGCATTCTTGTTGCTAACACAATGCCGGGTTGATCCAATAATGCTCATTGAGTGACTAGAATAATACAACAACCAACCTGGTTTTTCCCATGTTCACACAGCTCATGCAAGAAGTGTATTCTTGCCACCACCCATTTTCATCATCTTTTCAAAAGTTGCTTTGTTTCAGGCAGATGGAAAACTCTACAGGGTCCTGCCTCCTAGGGCAGTGGTTCCCAGACTGTGTAAACAGTAGAATAACCTGGGAAATCTCTTAACACTTTGGAATTTTTTTAAAGCTCAGGCGTCCTTCAACAGATCAGATCACAGCCCCGGGGGTGGGGGTGGGGTGGGGATTTTTGAAGCTCTCTATATGGAGTTCCAAAGGCTCGTGACTGGCATGGGAACTATCAGTACATCTCACACAATTGTCTTAGGCCATGTTTGTTTCTTTCTCAGCGTCCAAACAGCCTTGGCTTTCAGCAAGGTTTGCTTTTTATTCCCTCCCCCTTATGTTGCTGGCTTTCAATCTCTTGGTTATGCTTTGATTCACTCTAAATTGGACTGGTAGAAATTGGGGTTCATGGGAACATCTCTCATGAATAGCAATTAATGTAATTGTGAATAGATAGAATTAGCTCAATCAATGGGGAAACTCTAGGCTTCCTCTATCCCGAGAGAGATTTACCAAATTAATGTTGTAACGATGATGCTATAAAAATAACAGTTTATTTTTCTTGGGTCCCAAAGTGTCCAGTAATTAGCTAATATTACAAACAGCCATTCAAGTTATGCTTTGGCATACTTAGAGCAGTATTAATATTTGGAGATAGATAATTCTTTGGGGAGCTGGTAGGATTTTTAACAGCCTCCCTGTCCTCTGCCAGTAGCACCCATTGTCCTAGGTTGGGACGGGCAAAAATGTCTGCACCTATTGCCGAATTTTGCCTATGGGGCAAAGTCACCTGGATTGAAAATCAGACCACTGCTTTCTGCACACACCCACATACATAGTTGCATGCATTTTATGTCAAGTTCCATGTTACCACTTATATACCTCATTTAACTTAAGCCTCACAAAGACTCCAGGAGGTAGTTATTGTCAGCCTCCGTGAACAGATGGCAACTGTGTGCATTGGTATCCCCAGTTAACAGATGAATGAGTGTAACCAAAGCTTAGATAGTTTACTGAGCTGAGTTGCCCAAGTCTGCCTCATTAGCAAATGATAGAACTAGGATTTGAACCCAGGCCCGGCGTGTTCCAAAAGCTCTCTTCTTATCCTCGTCTCTATAGTCTGCAACAGTATCTCTGATTTGTTCTTAGCTTTGTTCTCTGCTGCCTAGCTGCTGAGACTGCCTATCAGCAAACCCCTCTTAACCTGAAATGCCATGATGCGTCACCTGCTCAAGATCTAGCCTCGGAAATTACTTAGCTCCACAGATGCCTCTCTCCCTAAGCAGTCTCTGCAAAGCAAGACTACCTTCTTGCACACTCAGGGAATCCTGTGTCTTCAGTTACAGCTGCTTTATACTGTACATTAAAGAGCAGCTCAGAAAGAGCTGATAGATAACGAAACCTTGATGAGTATAGAGATTGCGGCGGCTATTTACTTACGGAATTAATTAACAATCAGTTCAAATTATCACACGTAGTCAGGCTGCATGTAATTTAAATTGCTTTTGCACAAAGTAATTCAGGAACAAAAAAAATGTTGGATAGAGGTTACTGGAATGTAAGAACATGCGGAGAATACTGTATACAGCCAAGTGGTATATGATTCTCTTTTTAATTTTGCGACAATTTTAAGTATAGCATTTTGAATCTAAGTAGTGTGTTACATTAAGCAACCATTTGGAGCCACTGGGTTTGTACGGAGAGAATTTTATGGAGAAGTTAAACTGCCATTCATAAAGTTATTTTAATTCTATGTCTCTGTTTATATTTTTATTTTTTTTCCATTCCCCAGTGGGAACTATCTGTTGCTCATTAGAAAATCATCTGACATACACACATTTCAGAACCCAGTCTGTTCAACCCAGAATTCTGACATCTGAAGTGAGTCACAATTTTTGGGTGAATGTGACTGACATCTTCCATCTTTTATAGATGGAAAGCTAACAATAAATTTCCCCAGATTTGTCTTTTGTGGTGTTATTTGACATTGTATCCAAAGTATTATAAAGTAGCATAGGCTAAAAGGAGAAACAAGTAAAAAGTGGTATCACAACTCCTGCAGAGAAAACGATTTTGGAATTAAATAAGGAACTCGTGACACTATATTTGGGATGTTATACATAGTTCTTGACATTAACTTAGAGAAAATAATTTTTTTAACAGAAAAAAAATACCAAAATTAGGACAAAAATTAGAAGCTCGACCGTATTTCTTAGGGAAAAAAAAAAATTAAAGTGTGTCTCAAAAGCCAGTGAGATAGAAAATTCATGTTTGGGCTAGAAGTAATTGCAGAACCAATGGGCATAAACTTAAGTAACAGAAAAGACAGACAGTTAATTAATTTTTTATTACCATTGAGCAAATGTTATTAATGTAATTCAATTAACATTTATTGAGTGCCCACATGCGATAGATGAATCAATATGTCGGGAGCTATTAATTTATTTACTTTAAGTTATTAAGGAAACATTTTAATGATTTTCATTTTTGCTCACTAAATGTGACTTTATAATTTTTGCATCTATGCATTCTCTGTCTGGGGGTATATAGAGATAAATACACATTCCAATTATAAATAAGTAGCATCTCTCTTGCCTAACGGCTCTGATTCTATTCTTGTTTTCCTCTCCCCCTCCCCCCTTCCTTCCCTCCCCCACCCCTCCCTTCCCTTCCCTTCCTCTCTCTCAGTTTAACTCCCAGACCTGCCCTTCCTCTGCTACTGGTTTCTTTTTTTCCCTCTCGGGTTCCTTCAGTGTATTTATTCCTTTATTCCTATCTTTGTCCTCTTAGTTCCTTTCTTTGTACCCTACCCTTGAAGATTGTATTTGTGCACACTCACAATTTATGATTTTCTTTGTGAAGCTGGCCCCCCAAACTCTATGCAGTTCGTCAGCCGGCTAGGCCACGTTTACTGAGAGTAAGCTATGTGTCCTTCCCGCACTGGGTGCTGGGAGATTCAAAGAAGAATAGCAAACAGTCTTGGTCCTCAAGAGACCTACAGTCATCACAAATTGTGACTATTGGACTACAGTCATCACAAATTTACTGACTATTGGACATTTTATTTGAGTTACCGGCTCATCTTTACAATTAATGTATATCTTTCTGCTAAGCCCCTATTCTTTCCCCCCAACTGGGTTCCTCTGGCTATCCCTGGAGAACCCACAATTCAATTTCTTTTCATTGATTTATCATTTTTAGATGTTTATTTATTTACTGAGAGAGAGAGAGAAGAGAACACGTGTGCAAGCGGGGGAGGGGCAAAGAGAGAGAGAGAGAGAGAGAGAGAGAGAGAGAGAGAGAGAGAAAGAATCCCAAGCAGGCTGCCACACTCAGCCGAGAGCCCAACACAGGACTCAGTCCCAGGAATTGCAAGATCATGACCTGAGCCAAAATCAAGAGTTGGACACTTAACTCATTAAGCCACCCATGCGTCCCTGTATTGTCATTTTTAAAAAAACTCCCGGTGAATTGCCCCATCCTTCCATCCAAATTATTTACCAGTTCTTATTAATTTTTCCTTTTATTTCTTTTACGTTTATGTATTGATTTTGAGAGAGCATGTGAGTGAGAGTAGGGTGGGGGGAGAGAGAGAGAGAGAGAGAGAGAGAGAGAGAGAGAGAGAGGGAGAGAATCCCAAGCAGGTTCTGCACTGTCAGTGCAGAGCCCGACATGGGGCTCAAACCCATGAACCACGAGTCATGACCTGAGCCGAAATCAAGGGTCAAATGCGTAACCTACGGAGCCACCCAAGTACCCCTTATTTTTTCCTTTTAAATATCTTACAAATGCGTCTCTGATTTTTCATTCCCATCACTACCTCTCAAGATTTATCCTCTCTGTTCTTAAATCTGACTATTTCTGTCACCATCAGTCTCAACTATAGTGACAACACTTCCCAAGACATCTTACACACTATAATCGAAATGATGTTTTGAGTAATATTCTTCTGACCCTATTATTCATTAAAAAAATTAAAACAAAATACACACACATTGTGCACACACAAATGTTAATAGCTCATCATTACCACAATATTTTCCCATTATCCTGTTCTGAATTAATCTATGCACTCTATTGCCAAATTGTCTTTTGAAAAAGGTATCTTATTGTTAAATTTTCCTTGTGAGTGGTAAACTCCAGAAGCCTACGTGAATGTTGTCAGGTAAGTGTTTAAAGCAGGGTGATTTTAATTTTAATTCTGAACCAAAATGTTTACAGTGAGTGTGTATTTCAAATATATGGGCCATTTCTAAAGCTATCATGATAAATTATATTTTCCCTTGGATTTAAACTGTACTCTAGCTTAGAATTTAATACTGTAATGATCTGTGGTTGAAATCAGATCGAAGCAGACAGGTGACATTTCAAGGTATAAGTTACCAAACCATCAACAAATAATTATGGTTAATTCAGGCAACCCCAAAGAGGGAAAAAAAAAGGTTTTTTTCCTTTGTATGTAAAGTTTATAAAGTTCACACAAATGTCAGAAATGATTCTCCACAGCTTGGTAGATAAGAACACAATATACAAAAGCATTTGACATGATAGAGCATGCTGAAAATTATTAGAAAGAGCTCGAATCACATTTTCTAAAGGTATAGAGAACTATTATTCTTATATTGTGTACAATTTTGGAACTGATACTATGGCTGGAGAAGACAGAACAAAATTAGGAAGATGAGGATTTCTAAGTGCTGCCAAGAGCAAATAAAAGGTAACTGGTCCTTAAAGAAGCTATATTGAAAAAAACACACACTCATTTTCATTTTGGAAGCTGAGTGGGGGATAATTTTCTCAAACTGACGGTTGAAAACATTCTCACCTTCTTTTTAATGAATGGAAATAAGTTATGGATGGCTTGATCCATGGCTATATCCTGTGAGACAGGGCAAAACGAAGTCTTGGATTCATTACATTTCCTTTTTGGAGAGGAGAGGAATAAATGAGGTAAACTTATTGGACATTTTTTTTCCTGTAATTTTCAAACGCCGGCTCTGGTGAGAAGATGTCCTTTAAAGACTTTCAGGTGAAAGCAGTAGGTTTATATATCCTTGTTTTGTCTTCTGTGGTGCTTCAACTGAAACTGCCCCAGAAAACGTTAGATGAAATGTTTATCAAAGGCCATGACAAGGGGACATTTTAAGCCTTTTCAATCAGCATTAGTAAAACTTTTTTTTTTTTTTAAAGAGAGAAGAAGCAAAAGAATATTATTTCTCCAGATACAATAGCAGTGAGTGTTCAAGGTGAACAGGATTAAAGAGGAAAAAAGAACTGAGAGAAGAAGGTTGAACACAGCCCCGTGGCAAAGCTTCGTCCACACCTGCAAAGCATCTTCAATGTTTTTGGGGTGGGAGTGGGTTTTTTGGTGTAACGTTCTTAGATCATGATCTGTTCTCCGCTCCCTGCTACACTTCACACCTGTAGACAGACATAGGCTAAGTGATATACTTTCGTAGCTGGATCCTAAGCTTGTAAAAAGGAACAATTCAGTCCTAGGAGGTGACTGAATCTTCTTTAGACATGAAAACAGTTTGCAATTATGAGTCTCCAATTCATTTGTATGCAGTTACCTTCAGTTTAATGTTTGTATAACGTGTCTCAAGAAATAAAGATTATGTTATCTCGGGGAAAAAATTGGTTAGCAGTTGTTCGAGCTTGAGGCACTTGGGTTGGTAATAGGTTTAGAGCTTTAAAAATATCAGTGAAGCCAATCAGGCTATAAACTCCTGCATAATCGGTATTATATATACAGTGGCTTTTTTATTGTCAGTATTTAAATATAAATGTTAAAAATTAAGCTATAATATAGGTATTCCAAGTATTCTCTATTATGTGAAAACCATCACAATTCATTCATCCCAACTAAGTGAATGTCACTTAAAGTCTCTCTTTGGCATTGTCTCATTTGAGGCTCACCACAGTGCTCCCGAGTGTTATTATCACTATTATGTGGATGAGGAAATGGATGCAAGGTCAGAGGTTTGAGTGGTTTGCCCCAGATTACCCTGCTGGTTAGGGACAGATTGCACTCGGGTCTTCTCATTCCCGCGACAGTCAAGCTTTACTTTCATCAATTGCTGTATGAAACCAGGCACTCTGATATGAGATCAAGATACTTTTCTGAGGTTATAACTCCTGTGACCCTTCTGAAGTTTCTCCCTCCAGGTTAACTGGCCTTGCTCGTAGACGATGAGGGAGACACTTGATGTGTGTGCTCAAAACCAGAGCTTCTACAAAAGACCGCAGCTTCCATACCCCTCAAAGCCCAGTGCGGGTGCCATCTTCGGAGTGAAGTTTGCCACAGTGCCCACCCCCCACTCCCACTGAAATGCATTGTTCCCGACGGGAGTCCCCAGAGGCCTGGGTTGACACCTGAGTGTTTTGTACTGTGGCTAATTGCAGCGGTGTTTCTCTTCCCCTTTCCATTGTGAGCTCCTCGAGGAAACGCATGCTCCATTCATCATCAATTTCCCAGCACCTATAGCACAGTGTCTAGCAGAAAGCAAGTGTTCAATAAATTTCAGATGACTGACGAGCTGACTGACGGAGTGAACGTGGGGTGTCTCAGTTTTCAGTTGACGATTGACTCATTTTCTCTGGGACGGGTTTTCTGAACACCTCTTCCGTTGGTCTTCCTCCCCCACTCTTGATATGCCAGTTAACCCTGATGAAAGCCTAAACATTCCCTTTTGTGTTAAAATATATATCAATCCTTATTTTGATTTGAAGGCAACATTTGCATTTATATCTGTAAAACTGTGAAGAATATAAAAAGACCCAAAGAAAATGAAACCCCCTATAATTCTACCATTATCAACACGTTACCGCGTCTGCTTCACCAAAAGACAGTGGAAATATTTGGTGTATTTATATTTCTATATGTGTCAGGTCTGGACGATGTATATATCATATATACTGAAATTAGAATATCAAAAGTGTATTTTTATATCGATTCTAATTTTAATATATTCTAATATAATACATAAATCCTATGTATACTACTTCTAAGATGTGTCACTCACTTTAATATATATATTGTATACAGTGCTTCCCAGATGTGTCACTCACTCTTTTAGGACCTTTGCATATATTAACTCATTTAATACTCCCGGCAACTCTATGGCAGGACCTACTGGAGCCACCCCCATTTTTTTGGATGCGGACACTTAAGTACAGTCACACAAGTGACTCACAACAAGCAAAGTCACACAACAAGCAAGGGAGGAAGCTGCGTCTTTAACTTAGCCATCTGGCTCCGAGTTCGTGCTTCTAACCATGATGCTATATTGTCTTCTAGATAGAGATTTAAAAGGAACAGTATCAGGATTTTATTGAATATATTATATAGGTTACTAGTATATCATGAGCATTTCTCTCTATCCTAAAGATGACTTAAAAACACCCTCAAGTCTCAGCTTAACCATCACCCCTTCGGAGAGGACTTCCCTTACCCTAAACCTAAAGCAGTGTTTCTCAGTTGGGGCAGATTTTGGCAGTGGGTGGAGACTTGTGTTATTGTCATGATTGGGGTGAGTGCATTTAGTAGGGTGTGTGGCTAACGGGATGCTGCTAAACTAATCCTTTGGTGCACAAGAACTCCTTCTCCACACACCCTCCCCCCGCCCCCAACGATATATAAAGACTGTGGTTTCAGCTGTCAGTGCTGAAATTGAGAAATCCACGTACAAAGTAGTCCCAGCCTCTCGCCAACAGCCACTTCTATGACATCTCTGTCTCATCGTCCTTATAGCATTTTCCAGTATTCTGAAAATGTTTACTCTATGTGTTTGTTGATTTGTTTATGGAGTTCAGGTCTCTTCTCTCCTTGGCTAAAATATCACATTCATAAGAGTTTTGTCTATATTAATTAATTGCCATATTCTAGAAGAGTGCCTGAGACATAGTAGGTATGTAATAAGTAAGGAGTCAAAGACTGCATAGCTTTTCTTGCATGGTGTACCATAAATTATTTAACCATTTCCCCATTCACCGAAAATGTAGATTGTCGCCTTTTTTTTTTTGCTACTTTACATATTCTTAAACATTATTTTCGTGAAACTTTTCATATATGTATTTGTTTATATAGGTTGAATTCAGAGGGACGGAACTATTGCATTGATGGCCTGATTTCTAAAGCTCTGAACATAATGTACTAATTATTGACTTCCAGAAAGCTTGTATCGATTTATACTTACACCAACAGGGATCGGAAGAAGTTTGCTGTTCTCAGGCCAACTCAGGTTTTACCAATAAAGTCATTATTTTTATCAGTTCGAAAAGAACTTTGAGTCAAGTTTCCAAATTTCCTGCATCCAAAAAGACAGTCTTTCACTATCATGAGAGATCGAAGGTTTTTTTCATAGTCACTGCTTTTCTGAGGGATTTTGGTTCCACAGCTAGATTCATGGATAATTTGGAGCCCTCCTGCACTGAATGGGATTAGATAGGTAAAGACACTCATTCTGTGTTCTTGGATCAATAAACTCTTGTTGAAAATGTTTATTGGACGATTGACGATTGGATTTGGTATTTTTAGCTGGTTCTCACCTTTGTGCTCTGAGGTAAAGTATCAGTTGACAGACTTTGGAGGCTCCCTGTTTGCTTCTAGGCCTTGACTAGTTAGTATCCATCCATGATATGCCTGAATAGAATAGTGTATGATCTATACAGAGACCCTGGAGAAGTGGAGCCACACTAGAAGGCAGGGCAAGAAATAAGCGGGAGAAGCAAACGACCCACTTATTCACAACTCCTTTCGCCCACGTTGTGTGCCCAGTGTATTATGGAACCTATGAATCTAACTGGGGGGTTAAATTTTATTTTCCTGGTGAACCACCTGGTAGAAGTTAACCCTGTGGTCTCCAAAATGGCATATATACACCTAGGGGAGTCACAAAACTATCCAGTGGGGTTGGAGCATCTATTTACATGGACTTTAAAAAAACCCTAATATAATAGCTATTTTGCGTATTTTATAATGTAGAGAGCAGTTAACATGGCGGCATATGTGACCATTGTGTGCGTGTGCATGTGTATCTTTCTATAAGGTGGGCCTGCTGTGTCCCCCCCCCCCCCCCCCCCCCCCCCCCCCCCCCCCCCCCCCGCCCCTGCCCCACACCCCGGCCCTTTTTTTACCTATTAAAAGTTTACAATAAAAACTTCGGAGACTACTGGTCTAAGGTCAGCTGTGTCTTCAGCCCTCTCCACCTGAAGGAAAGTCAATTCTCTTATGCTTCCTCTTGGTAGCCAGGGTGTGGTTGCTGGAACATTTACAGCCACAGCAGCTGCAGTAGTGGCCTGAGTAGACTTTTCCTCTGAGTTTCTATAGTGGTAACAGGATTAACAGACTCTATTCTGGAAGTACTTGGGTGGCATAACACCTCCCAGCAGAACTATTCCTGACAAGGATGTGCAGATGGAAATGCATATTTATGTCACTTAAAGCCTACCAGAGACACAAGGATTTGAGCTATAACAATAAATAGAAAAAAAAAAAATCTCCAGCGTTTTTGGTAACCCATACTCAAGTGCATTGACTGTGCTTGGCGAAAGACCTACAGTTTGCTCTTTGTCCAAGCATAAAATATTCAACATTCAAGCGTGTTAAGGTAGACTATTCTGAATATATTTTAGAGTGTTAAAACAAGCTAGCATGAAGTGAGGTTAAAATTGCAGGTCTTAAAAAAATAACAGGACAATTCTGTGAGGGGTTTGGGCCATTTCAAGGAAAAAAAGTCTCCTTTAAAAAAATGTCCAATTATTCCATTTATTAATAATGGGGTAGGTTTAAAAGTCATTTCCGGAGGCCAAATGGTCATTGTAATCATCAAGGCTTCCTGTTTAAAATACCTTTTAGCCATCTTTGATACACCTTCCCCTAGCTTTCTTCTAAAATGCTTGTGACACTATTCGAAAAAGACAAATGCTCACATCCACAAAATATATATTACGTTGACCTGGGAAATATTTACACTACATATCAACCCATTAGTATTGAGCTGAAGAATTCAGTGAGTTATGCTAGTTCTGTGGGGAGGGGCCTTTTCCCAAATAGCCTTTTCCCCCCTGGTTCCTGGCTCGGAAATCAATATTTTGTCAACCAGAAAGCTGGGTTGCCATGGCTTTTGAAGAAGTGTGCTTTGTGATCTGCCAGGGAGTGGTAATTCTTTGTCACTCTAACCAATCCAGGTAGGGTTTGTTACACTACACAAGAGGAAGACTTTCAAAAATTGTTCGAGGTTCTCATTAGGTAGCATGAAGAACTCTGTGAAGAAAAGAGAAGATAATCTTAAGAAGCAAATTGAGATGAAAAGCCTCCAAGAGAGATCCAAAGGGATGTGGTGAAATAAACGACTCTGAAAAAGTCAAAACTGTACTCACAGAATTAAAATGTGCCTCAGGGGCAGCAAAACACAGAACGGACACTGCAGAAAATATCAATAGTAATGTGGAGAGAAAATATGAAAAAGTTTCCCGTGGTTCAAAAGTAAAAAAACACAGGATTCAAGCTATGATGATAAATAAAAGAGATGCTGGGTACATAGGTCAGAGCACACTAATAAATGAGTTTTCTAAAGAAGAAACCAAAACAATTTAAACATAAGCTTTGCTCCAGAATACTCCTTAAGTATATGTTCTGAGTAGAAGCAGTTTTTGAGTATACACCTCCCTGCCTAAAATTCAGGAAACAGACCTACAATCCTAGAAAGTATTTTGAGTTACAAAAATGAAGCTTTTTTTCAAACACTCCGACAAGCAAAACCGTAGAACAAGCTGTCCTGAGGTTGTCCCCTAATCCTCCTTGCACAAAACTAAGTGCCAGAAAACAGCAGTATCACATTTATTAAATTTTGAGGGAATACAATGATGCCTGGATAACTGTATCCTTGATCAACTCGACTTTTCTGCGCAGAAGTACAGTAAGGCATTCTCGTCACGCATTGTCAGAAGAAAATACCCTACTCCAAAGAAAAGCAATGAAAACTTTCTCGAAAAATTATTTAACCTCGCGTCTTCTCTGTGTGACTTTTTTAAGTTGTTTTT